GCCCTCCCCCCACCCCACCCCCAAGCTTTGCTGTCTACTTCTGACTGCAAAACTGAGGGAGAAAATGCAACCCATTAGACATCTGATTTTTAATCTGCCCTTATGTCCATGTGTAAAGCAAGACAGGACAGCTAGAACAGCCAGCAGGGCTTGTGAGGGCTGGAGGGCGCACCTCGGAAAGGGGGCCTTTTGCTTGCACACTCCTTTTCTGCTTGAAAAGGGCAGACCAGATTGTCAAGGAGCATGAGAAGTAAAGGGAAGGGATCAAGAGGCAAGCTGACACTACATGTCCCACACCTGTCAGATGCCTTTAAGCCATTAGCTCTTAGACCCCAGGAACCTGCTCCTTCTGGCTTTTTCTACCACCTGTAACAGAGCTGTGTGGTTGGGGCTTAATGAAGATAGTGCTTAATGAATTTGATGAAGAGGACAGGTTGTCAGGAGCCTCCACCGAGGCACTTCTGCTTCTCTGAAAGTAGGACAGTCTTTGTTTCAGAGTCGATACAGAGGGATGGCAGAGAACAAAAGATATTTCACTATCCGGAAAGAAACGTAGTTTGGGTGAGAAATTTCAGCACCTCTACAGGATTATCTTAGCCCTATAGGAATGATCTGGCCCATTCGTTCATTGACAGATTTATTCATGGATCTGTGTTTTTCATTCAACAAACTTTTTTACCTCCCACTCTGCTGAGTACTGGAGAAACAGGACCTTGTCTTCATGGAGTTTACAGGGAAGACATCCTCCAGACTCACTCCACCACATCTATCTTGAGTGCTTCATATATTAGGTACCATGCTGTGCTGTGCTGAGTCGCTAAGTCATGTCTGAGTCTTTAGGGCGGGTCACACCCTGTGGACTGTAACCACCAGGCTCCTCTGTCCATGGGGATTCTCCAGGCAAGAATACCGGAGTGGATTGCCATACCCTTCTCCAGGGCATCTTCCCCGACCCAGGGACGAAACCTGGGTCTCCCAACATTGCAGGCAGATTTTTTACCATCTGAGCCACCAGGAAAGCCCGAGAATACTGGAGTGGGTAGCCTATCCTTTCTCCAGGGGGTCTTCTTCACCTCGGAATTGAACCAGGGTCTCCTGCATTGCCGGCAGATTCTTTACCAGCTGAGCCACCCAGGAAGCCCATTAGGTACCATGAGGAGTCATAAAGAACCAACAGAGTCCTCAGGAAGTGCAAGTGTCAGGGATGGATCCTAATTGTAATCTCTCCAGAGATTTGTAGTCAGTTCGTCACTTATTAGGCCTCTCACTTCCTGTAGATATTTGTTTTCTTGGTTGGATTCCAATTTCACTGTTCTAATTGCTTTTCTGCTCCTGGCCAGCCCTCAGCATGCAAGGTTGCCATTCGTACCTGCTGTTTGAAGCACAAGCCGACGATTCCTTATGTAATTTGTTGTTGTTTTTTTTCCTTTTAGTTTGGCTGGATTGGGTCTTTATTGCTTTGTGGGGACTTTCTCTAGTTTCAGTGAGTGGAGCTGCTCTTTGTTGCGGTGTGCGGGCTTCTCACTGCGGTGGCTCCTCCTGCTGTGGAGCACCAGCTCTAGGCATGCGGGCTCCAGTAGTTGCTTCTAGCACCCAGGCTTGGTTGGTCCACAGCATGTGGCATTGTAACAGGAGGGAAAGGGACAGGGCGCAACTTTTGAAAGAATGACATAGCCCAAGGACACAACATAAACTGATTAGAATCAAATGGGAGCAAGATGGTAGACAAGACTAGACCTTGATCATCAATCAGCAAGTGAAATGAAAGACCCAGAGGTGCCTTGACAGTCCCAAGGCACTGTCCGAAGACCAAGGAGTGGGTGGTGGCCCAAATCCTGGAAATCTCCGCCCCTTCCCAAAAATAGTTGGAATAATCCTCCTGGATCACTAAAGTGAAGTGAAGTCGCTCAGTCCTGTCTGACTCTTTGTGACCCCATGGACTGTAGCCTGCCAGGCTCCTTGTCCGTGGGATTTTCCAGGCAAGAATACTGGAGTGGGGTTGCCATTTCCTTCCTGCTCACTAGCGTATGAAATTACCCAGCCTATACAAACCAACCCCGCCACATTTCTCGGCCACACTCGGCCTCTGCAATGGGCCACGCACTGTGGAGTGTGCTCCTCTCTGAATCTGAATAGATCCACTTCTTACCTATCACTATGTCTCTCACTGAATTCTTTTTGTAATGAGACATCAAGAGCTTCATTAATTCCTGAAACCAGGTACCATGGGTTTTGGCTGGGTTTGAGTCCCAGCACCTGAGTTCAAGTCCCAACCTGAGATAAACTGTTTCAGAATCTTCCGGGGTCAGGGAAGTCCACAAGCCAGCTATTGTTGGAAACAACAGTTCTTGTTTCCAAAAATCTTGGCTCTCTGTGCCCCAGTACCAAACAGAAACACAGAGTTATGGAGGAGAAAAAAAGAGGAAAGAGTAGCTTTATAACTTTGTCAGGCAAGGGAAAACATAGTGGGCTAGTGCCTCAAGAACTGTGCCTTGGACTTCCCTGGGAGCTCAGACAGTGAAGAATCTGCCTGGAGTGCAGGAGACCTGGGTTCCATTCCAGGGCCGGGAAGATCCCCTGGAGAAGGGAATGCAATCCACTCCAGACTTCTTGCCTGGAGAATCCCATGGACAGAGGAGCCTGGTGGGCCGCAGACCATGGGGTCACAGGAGTCTGACACGATTAAGTGACTAACAGTATTAGCTGTCCGTGGTGAGTAGGGAAAGGTTATATAGTCAGGCAGGAATATGTGATAAGGCTCAAGGCAGTAACTGTCTTAGATTCTTTCTTCTGCAGTTTCAAAAGGGTGGGGTTTGCTGACAAGATTAGGGTGTGTGCAGGGTCCCAGGTGCTCCTCTCCTAATCTCAAGGAACCTCTGCCTCAGGTGGTTTCCTTGCTGCTTCCCCTTTGATGAGCAACTGTGCTGCCCTTTGAAACTCAGAAGGTCATGGAGGCCAGATTCCTGCTCACGAGGAATGGGGGACAAAAAGGCCTCCGTGCCCTGGAGTCCCACGGGGCCCTGTGAGGCATCACTGTTACCTTGGCCACAGCTGCACTTAGTCACACCTCCCTGAAGCTGCATTTAGCAGGGATTGAGGGTTGAGCCTCTGCAAACCTCAATTCAAATCAGAGTTCAAACCTCCTGACTGGTGAGCAAACTGCTTTAATACTAACAGTGGGGGAAGAAAAAAATGAGTTTAAAATAATCCTTTTAGAGACACAAGATGCACTGACTTGACCTTTTATTCAGATTCTTTTCTTTCCAATAATAGTGATTTCAGGTCAACATCTCTCTCCATTTGGTTAATTCCATTAGGGCCATGCCAAAAGAGAGGTTCCATCTGTGGCTTTGAAACCCAAATGGGATGAAGAAAAATCATTGACATGGTCAAAATTTCAGTTATGCTAACCAGATTAAAGACTTTCTACGGAATTAAAGAAAAATTTGACACATAGATTATTCGAGACTAATCATTTAAGCACATAGGGAAATCTTCCATGAAGTGGTATATTGCCAACTCTCTTAGTACTGACATGTCAGCGGGAGAGATCAGTTTTAAACCAGCATTGGGTTGGCCAGAAAGTTCATTCCAGGTTTTCTGTGTAACACTGATGGAAAAACCTGAATAAACTTTTTGGCCAACCCAATATAAAACAGCAGACATCACTTTGCCAACAAAGGTCGATAGAGTCAAAGCTATGATTTTCCCAGTAGTCATGTACAGATGTGAGAGTTGGACCATAAAGAAGACTGAGCACCAAAGAATTGATGCTTTTGAACTGTGATGCTGGAGAAGATTCTTGAGAGTCCCTTGGGCTGCAAGGAGATCAAACCAGTCAATCCTAAAGGAAAAGTCAACCCTGAATATTCCTTGGAAGGACTGATGCTGAAACTGAAGCTCCAGTACTGAAGCACAGTACTCCAGTACTGTGAGGAGCCAACGCATTGGAAAAGACCCTGATGTCGGGAAAGACTGAGGGCAAGAGAGGAAGGGGGAAACAGAGGGTGAGATGGTTAGATAGTATCACTGACTTAGTGGACATGAATTTGAGCCAACTCTGGGAGATAGTGGAGGGTAGAGGAGCCTGGTGTTCTGCAGTCTGTAGGGTGGCAGAGTCAGATACAACTTAGCAACTGAGCAGCAACAATATAAAAATAAGATCCTTTTAGAGAATGACTTAGGAAATGGGGGTGGAAGGGTGGGTAATATTAGAGAGGTCAGAGAAAGCTGCTCTGAGAGGTGATATTTAAGCTGAGATTTGAAAGACAAGAAGGAGACATCTACGTAAGGGTATAGAGTTAGTGTTCCCAACAGAGGGGACCCAGGTAAGTCAGAGTTCCCGAGGTAGGATTGGGCTGGCTGTCTTAGGGGAAGAGGAGGAGGTTGGAAACACGTTCAAGGCAGAGCGATAGGAGATGGGAATAGTCAGAGAGGACACAGGGCCACAGGAAGCAGTTTCAATTGTGTTGGAAGTCCAGAGAGTACTTTAGACAACCAAACACAGACTTTTCAGCAAAGGTGTATGTTTTATTTAGGGCTGAAGAGCGCATGGAGGTTTCTTCCCCTTCTGGTGCTTCCACGTTGAGTTATGCAAGGATTAGTAAAATCAAATCACATTTACAAAACTGCTTTGATAATTTTAAAGCACTGTACATTTAAGGATATTGTTATGAAATCGTTTAACACCATTGAAGATATTATTACTTTATGAAAGTGTTAGTCGCGCAGTCGTGTCTGCCTCTTTGCGACCCCCGTGGACTGTGTAGCCTGCCAGGCTCCTCTGTCCATGGGGATTTTCCAGGCAAGAATACTGGGGTGGGTTGCCAGTCTTTCCTCCAGGAGATCTTCCCAACCCAGGGATCGAACCTAGGTCTACCTGCATTGCAGGCCAGTTCTTTACCATCTGAGCCATCAGGGAAGCCATTATTTGTGGGAGGAGCCAGTTCTCCCTGTTAGACCCCCCTGGCCATTCCCTGAGGCTTCCGTCGCTCTGAGGACTCTGTTGCCATTTTCCATACATCGTGAGGGCTTCAGGGAGGAGGTTTCCCACCATGTAAACCCACAGACAATGAGGAGAGGATCCTGGTTTGGCTCAGTGCTCTCCCCTGAGTCCCCGTGAGCAAAGGTGAAGATGTCCTGAGGCTGTGATTCCCAGAAAGTCCCCACTTCTGGGGCCACATGAGCTAAATGGAAATTATGAAAATATCCAGGGCAAGAAGCTAATAAATAAGAAGTGACAGGCATTGCATATTAGGGGATTATTTGACTCTCCTGCAAGACCCATCATGAAGACTGAGGGCGTCTAATCATCGCCCGGTAATGTGCTGCCTGATGAACTCCTGATACAAAAGGAAGTCTGGTCCTTCGAAAGAATTAACCAGAAGATTTATGTCCTGAGGAGGATCACGCCCTTTGACGTGGGCCGTTTCTAAGAGCTTTTTTTTGTGACCTTTGGTTTCTAAGTGTAGTCCGTGGCCGTGATCTCTAGAAAAGGTAAAGGAGTATGGCCCAGGTTTGTTCCATGGCACCAGGAATAAGGAAGCTAAGATACAGGATCCCCATTCGTGCTGGCTGTTGTCTGGGCCTGGCCCCCTCCATGGAAAGCCCTGGCAGGGATGCTATAATCGTGTACTCAATGAAGGCAGACGTCATTTTGATATCTTTTTACTAAGTAATTCTACCAGTGCTTCCCAAGCCAAAAGTGCAACACGAATTAATTGAGCAAGAAAAGTGACCTGCATTCAGTTGGCCTTTCTGTCCTTATTAGGATCAGAAAGGATGTTTGGATGCAGACCGTTTCAGAGGGAAAAAAGGGCATATGTTACTTATTGTTTGGGGTGAGTGTTTTTAGGATTGAGAAAGGGGATGCCATGTCCTTAATAACTCTGGCATGCCACACCAATTCTGGTTGGCCTGACAGATTAAACATGAGCGCTCTCCCATTATTCTTGCAGCCTTGGCTTCCCCTCCAGCCTGATATGTATTCCACGCACAGTCAAGCCTCTGAGTTGACATCTTCTTCTAAAATTGTTTGGCTGTAATAAATATAAAACTTTCACCACTGATGTAAAGCATTGCTGGTTGGCATCATTTCCTACCCCCTTTTAATTATTCCTGACACTGTGGAGAAACATCTAATATAAATCTGTAATGTGTGCTGATGACAAACTACACGGTTGAAGGACCATGTAATTTCTCCACAATTAATTAAAGTGCATGGAGATTTTTTTCCCCCCTTCTTCCTTGCTTTCTTTTTTTTTTTTTTTTGCTCTCCCCTAGCAGCCAGATGCCACTGAGTGGCTCAAATAACACTGCTGTCAACTGTAAAAAATTAAGATCCAAACCGTAAGAAAGGTACTTAGATAAAGAAACCAGATGCCGGGTTATTTGGGATCCCCACATACATCTTGATGTAAGCCGCCATTGTTCAACATCTGTATTTCCACAGCCTTAATTATGTACTTAACTCTGCAAGTCTGTCAGCAGTTGATTTCCACAAGTATTGTCACTTTGGTAAATCTTTTATTTAAAAAAAACAAAATTGAATGGTGCCAATCAGCCAAGGGATGAGAGACACTGGGAACTAGGAGGCCTTGTGCAGAAAGAAGCTGCTGCCTGTTTACACCCCTGATGCAGGCTGGTGTTTATGGGCACATGTGTGTGGTCACTCAGAGAGTGGGGCTGGGGCTGGGGGGGAACAAACGCTCAGCTACCATTGCCGGCTGATCTGCCACCTGGAATTGATCAAAAGCAAATTAATTTTCATTTTCAATTAGGAATACAATTAAATCCAAAGTGGTGAGGGGGGGAAATCGTAATGTTTACATACAGCTCGGGTGGTGGGAGGGCGGAGGAAATGGCAGATGACATGAAATACACGTCTTTGTATCTGGGCGTTTAATTCACTCAAGTGTGAAGGGGGTGGCTTGGGCTGCCGCTGCCGCTGCTGCTACTGCCTTCCACTTCCCCAGAAGGGGCCCCCTCCTTCCCTTGAGCAGAGTTTTCAGGGAAAGGGAAGAGGGACAGCCCATCAGGGGGTAGAGACTGTGAGAGGTCCCTCCATGGGGCCCTGCCCTCTTGCTCTGCCGGCTCCTTTTCCCAGGATTCTGCAGTCAAAGAGGTGGATGTTTTCACGAAGCGCTTGAATTCGGAAACAGGAATTTGGCTTTGCAGTCTTCCCCCAGCCCGCCGGCTCCCAGCGTCAGAGCGGTACCTGGCAAAAGGATCCCCCGTCTCGGTCTGGCCATCATCAAGAGATATTGAGTGATTGTGTGAAAGCAATCTGGCTGCTGAATGCCTCGTGTCACAGGATCCGAGCTCTTTTCGCTTGACTTTTTCTCTGCATTCAACGGCTGCCTTTTGTTGGAGTAACTGAGTGGGGGCCTGTGGGGAGGGCAGGATTCCTCCCGGCTGCCTGGGGAACACTTGGCCCACTGTGTTCATCACCAGGGGTGGTAACTGGGGGGAGCTTTGACCCTGATTGGAAGGCAAGTCAATTATTTGTCAATTATGAGATCTAGAAATCCAGATAGGGGACTCTTGTCAAAGGCTCGGCTCTGGAATCTGGGGACGGATAAGATAACAGTGGTTTGGTGAACAGGCAGCACATGTTTCTTCCCTGTATCCACCTGTCTGTCTCCCAGGGCGGTCACATTTTGCCTTGTCCTAAGCCTGCTGCTGTGCTGGTGAGAAACTCCCAAATACCCATCTTGGAGATCAGCCTCTTTGAAAAAGCAGAGTGGGTCGGTGATAAATATTTTGTCATATGAATAACAATGAAGATAGCTTCAGATAATAGCTGACATCTTTGTAAAATCCTCTGGGTGATGGAGTAAGAGGAAGAGAAGGTTCTGGGTCAAGGCAACAGCTGCTTCTGGTGGAAGATCCTCCAAGGCAGTGTGGTGACCACTAATCCCCAGCGCTCCAGTCCATATTTTCCTTCATACCACCCCACCTTCCTGGTCCCAGGGCAAGGGTGTAGGTTTCTGCCCTGCATGGTATTTGTGCTTTTAAAGAAGATTTTATGACTTCTGCTATGTTGGAATTCCTCTCTTTACTAGACAGTTGGCATGACCGCAGCCTGAAACCACGATGGAGTTGTTAACACGCTGGGATCAGTTTTTTCCCTCCTTTAAATCTATTCTTTTTTTTTTTTTTTAAGGGGGGGAGGGAACTCCAACAAATCAACAGAACTATTAACTTTCTGATTTATTTGCTACAGAGAAGTGAAAAAAAAAAAAAAAAGTCAATGCAAAGTGACAGAAACACCAGAACAGACAGGAGGAAAACATTCTACATGCAAGTTTCCATCTGAAATCTCACCACAAGCAGTGGGTTATCTGGAGATAGACATCTTCAATTTCCTGACTGCATAATAGAAATGGGTTTTCTTCTTCCTCTTAAAAAGATAAAAAGCATACTGCATAGCGTTGACATAAAGTTTTCTGCAATTTGGGTTCTCCAAACTCCGCCTCTCAAGAATAGGCTTCTCTCATCTCTGCTGCTAACAGTTTTCACCGCTTTTTCAAGGGCAAAGGTCAGTGTTGCTAACATGATGAAGGCCAGAAGACATCTTCACAGGAGCCTGGGAGATTAACTCTGCCCACCTGGCAGATATCATGGCATTTAGTAAATAGACTGGTCAGGGCTAGTGGCTCAGCTGGTAAAGAATCTGCCTGCAGTGCGGGAGACCTGGGTTCGATCCCCGGATTGTGAAGATACACTAGAAGAGGGAGCAGCTACCCACTCCAGCATTCTAGCCTGGAGAATTCCATGGACTCGAAAAGAGTCAGACACGACTAAGCAACTTTCACTTCCACCATTCAGCGAAACAGCAGTGAGAAAATCAATCTGGATTGGTGACCTAATAGCTGCATCTCGCTCGCTCTCTCTCTTTTTAAAAATTTTGCCTGTTATGGGTCTTCATAGTGGCATGCGTATTCAGTAGTTGCAGCGTGTAGGATCTTAGCTCCCCAACCAGGGATTGAACCCAGGCCCCCTGCATTGCGAGGCAGATTCTTAACCACTGGACCACAGGCAGGTCCCTAATAGGTGCATCTCTTGCACACATTATCACTTAGCAAGTGTCTTAGGGTTAGCAGTTTCTAACCCTAAGTATTTGAGACTTTGGTTGGAGGCAGTTCAGGACAGTATGGACATTTGTCCCAGCTGAGGTGGGCTAGACTCTGCAGGTAGCTGACCCAGCCTCCTCAAAAACTGGCCCAAGTGATGTGTGGTCTTCAGATGCACACGTCTTCCTCAAATGCCCTATATTTTCCTCACCCCTAAGTTTCTGATGACCCATTTCTGAGATGTGAAATTCTTGGCACTGGCGCATAGCTTACATCACTTTTACACTTCAAAATGCCCCATGATCTCAAAAGCAGTCCTCATTTTTCAGTCACTCTGTATATCGATACTTCATTTTATTTCATGGAATGTTTTAAAATTATATTTAAAAGGCAGCCTCTTTCGTCTCATGTGCCCTTCCTTGGCTGGGAAACAAAGGCAGTCTCTTAAGAGGTGTTTTATATTTTATGACTATGGAGAGAGAGCATAGTTCTTTAATAGGTGTATATAGAAGAGAGTTCCACGTTATAGGTTTTCAGAGATTAAAAGTTCTGGAACAAGGCCGTTCGATAACATCTTTGAAGGACAGAGGAGCAGATAGAAACCATAGAGGTCTGGATGCCAACACAGAACACTCCCAGAACCTGGGGACAACAGGAGCTTTTCTGAGATCATATTATTCTCACCAATAAGGGCATCCTGCCTCGACCACGGGTGAGGGCTGTGCAGGATGGATCATTCTCATCTTATGCTTCATGGTTATGGGCATGTAATATGTTCTTCATTGAGCCGGGCAATTGACGGAGACGCCAGTGCATTTAAGACTCGAGTCTACTGGAAATGAGACTTGCATTCTTGCCAGAAATGGATGCTTTTCTGTGTCCGCCACTATCACACATCTTGATATTTTTTGTAATCCTGACTCTTAAAACAATAATATCAAACAACTCCAGGGGAAAAAAAAGTTAAATATTTCCATATGAAGAGCTGATTAAATTTGTATGGTTTTCTTTTCAGTAAAAATTGATACGTGATGAAACGCAGTGCAGCTGGATGGCTGGTTGGAGCTGATATTCCCACATCCTCTGATCTCTCTACCCGCTCGAAGGGTGGGTGCCCAGTGACCCGCTGTGCTGTGACCTGGGTTCTGAAATGCTCATTTGCAGGGCACCTGGACCGCAGAATGCATGCTCTAAACAGAGTCAACAGTCAGCTGGCTCAGGTCTCTCCTCTTAAGTCATATGGTTATCCCCTGAGCTTTCCCTCGGCGGCAGGCGGAGTCCATGGGAAGTATTGTAGTTGACAGTGGGCAGGTGACACTCTATCAGGATCTTTAAAGTTGAAACTGGGGCAAAAGCCTGGCTGGGATGTGTGGGAAGGTGGTGGCAAAGATGGTTTATTGGCTCATGTGTTTGAAAAGGGGCTTCTCCAGTGGCTCAGTGGTACAGAATCTGCCTGCTATGCAGAAGACACAGGTTCAGTCCCTGGGTCGGGAAGATCCCCCCGGAGGAGGGCATGGCAACCCACTCCAGTATCCTTGCCTGGAGAATCCCCTTTGATAGGGGAGTCTGGCGGGCTCCAGTCCATAGGGCTGCAAAGAGTCAAACACGACTGAAGCGACATAGCACATACGCACATGTTTGAAAAGGTCAAGAATATCTGACTTCAGTGCAGTATGACCTTGAGTTCGGATAAGGTGGCTGTGACCTACATTCTTCTGCTCCATGTGCTACTCCCTCCCAAGAGTGGTGGTCCCACTGTCAGTCAGACTTTCTTCCCTTGCTCACAAGATGTTGACCAGCTGCTCTTGATGCTCTTTCCTACCATTTTCATATCCCATGGTGTTCCCAGCATGGGTGCTCCTTTGCCTTGATGGAAGCTAGGGGAGCAGGGTGATGCCAGGGCTGGGGTTGGCTGCACTCGACGGCCTGGGGCCCAGAGTCTGGAATGAAGAGCTTTCGTGGAGGACAGCTTGGATAAGGTCACAGCCTTAGTTGGTGACCAAAGCAAGAGTATCCTGGGGGTCTTCCTCGGATAGAGAAATCCACTGGTTGAGACTCTGCCTTGCAGTGCAGGGGACATGGGGTCAATCCCTGGTCCAGGCAGATTCCACAGGCCGTGGGGCAACTAAGACCTCTCGCCGCAACTGCTGAGCCCGGGAGCTCTGGAGCCCAAGCTCCACAGCTAGAGAGAAGCCTGCCTGCCGCGGTGAAGAGGCTGCATTCAGTAACACGATGCAGCCAAAAATAAATAAATATTGAAACCAAACCAAAAAAAAAAAAACACAAAAAACCAAGACTATACCAAAGGCCATTCCACCAAAACATTAAGACAGGAAAGTAGACCTCTTTGATCAGGAAACTTGGTGTCACGGGTTAGTCACTTTTACTGCTTCTATTTCCATTCCCTTTAAAATATGGATAATAAGAGGGAGGGGCTGCTCAGTTATTCCTGCGGACATCCAGGCTTGGCTTCCGATTTTCCCAGTGTTCCGGGTGGGTGGGTGTCTTTCTGCCTCTGATCGCAGTGGCCCCAGGTGACAGCAGTGTATTTTTGTTCAGCAGATTTAAAGGAGATGAAACCATCCTGCCATGTCTGTGCTTAAAAACCATGTCCATCTGGCGATCTCTGCGGATAGGAAGTTGTCACAGAGTCAAGGACCCCTCTAGGCTTTGGCCGGCTTTGACCCTTGCTCATCACACATCCTCGGGACTCTCCTTGACCACTAGGATAGGAAAGTACCCGTTTGGTCTTTTTCTACCTGTTCCTCTCTCTAGCCACCCTCATTTTCCTCCTCCTCAGGGCTTTCAAAGATCATCTCCTGCTGGGTCACTGCTCAAAGTTCCCTTGGTCTGCTGGTCTTGCCATGAGAAGCAGAAGTACCTTGAACCACCTCCGACGGTAGTGACTTTCCCGGGTGAGGTCAGGCACTGGGAAAATGGGTAGGAGATAACTTACAGTGGCTCTCTTTGCATAACTCCTCAGTCAGGGACGGCAAAGGTCCCCCAATTCAAGGACTTCAATGTTTGTAATTAGAGAAAAAGACAGATTCGACTCTCAACGCTGGCGAGGCTCCAGGGAAAGTCGTGTGTGCCGCTGAGCTACTAGAGATCTCTATTTGTCAAACGGAGTGTTTACCATGGGCTCCCTCTCCACCCTCCCCACTGCCCCCGCCCACCACAGTACCAAGAACCTGTCTACAAACAAAGCATTTACCCTCTGAGGATTTCTTTCTAATTAAAATTTTACATATACCCAATAAACAAGGGCACGTTTGAAATGGAAATTTGTCATTTTCGTAGGCAACTTAAATCACCCCACCTACCTTGAGACCAGGGTTTCTCCTTCAGCCTAAAGCTGCGCAATGCTGGCTTCCCTTTAGTCTTGGGCGGCTCACACTCCCTGTGTTCTTAAATCCTGGTGTGGGTTCTTCTTGGGTTTTGTTTTGTTTTGTTTTTTTTCTTTTTTCCTTGAACACTTTCTGCAGTTTAGTTATTTGTTGTAATTATCAAGTTCATTTTTCTCTAATAGATGTGATTAAGTATATTTAGCACTGTGTAATGAGTTTTCTGCCTGGTTGCATCTTAGCTAATAAGGAATTCCTCAGCGGCATCTCTTGACAGCTGCTGCGAATCCCAGGTCTGTGCGGCCACAAGAGACCCCTTCCATGAACTGCTAGCATTAAAGAAATTAACTCCATTACACTCACCATAAAATTGAGGCTGAAATTTGATTACTCATAGACCCTCAATTCAACTAGAAACTGTAGAAATGGGGTGGGGCCAGTAGGGAAGAAGATGAGTGAACGTGAAACACTAGTGTTCACTCTTCCATCAGTGTGTGTGTTCAGACGCTTCCAACCGTACCTCTGATTTGATACCTGAGCAGGATTGGAGAGCAGTGCCAAGCTGATGACTTTATAGCCTTGTGCTTTGTTGGGTATAAGAGACCGGAAGTTTTCGTTTCTGCCGTGATGGTGGTACCTTATTTTTCATGTTTTTGCCTTCGCTGAGCTAAGAAAACCTGTTGGTATGTTTTTGGCCATTGGAACTACTTGCCATTGTCATAGGCAGTCCAGATTTGTCAGGCGAAAGTGCTGAGGGCAATTAGTTATTGGTGACTGGCTGTTATGATGTATAGTTGCCTAGCAACAGTCTCTGAATTAAGTCTCTGGAAAGGGGCATACAGGAAGAGACAAGACAGGAAGATGAAATAGGTACCATTTCGATGGGTAGGTGAGTCGGTAATGAAAAAAGAGTAAAAGGTATTTGTAATCATAGAAACAGCTGAGTGGAAAATTGGGGCTACGGGAGAGAAAAGACAGGACTTAGTTCCTCCCTTGCTAAATGAAATAAGAGTAAGCAGCAGTTGAACCAACCCCATTAATACAAAAGCTCATCTTCTTTCTTCGACATTTTGTGGTTCCAATGCACGCAGAACTCAGGGAGTGCTCTTTATCCCAAGTGCAGCATGAAAATTCACGGAAGGGAGAGGAGACTCGAGTCATGCCTGATTCTTGAAATCTTGAGGACAAGCTTAATTCGTACCAACTTTAGTTCATACCAACGAAGTGGGGTTAACTGGGGGACAGGGTCCAGTTTCGATTCAGTCCTGCTGTGGTACCAGGTGGAATTGGTACTCTCAGATACAGATGTTCCATCTTGATTCATGTGAAGTCAGGAAGTATCTTGAAGAAGCCGAGAACAGCATATCCATTTCATTAGAGTCAGCTGAGTTTAGACACGCGGCAGACTTAAGCCATCACCCTGAACTCCCTGATTTATTTAGTGAGCTGGTTTAGCCTCTAGAAGGCCAGATGAGCCAAAGAAAGAGAAGCAGACTATGGCCTTGATCCAGATATGGAGGCTTGTTAAGGGGCTGCCTTATCTACATGAGGAGCTACATCTGGAGGTCTGCAAAGGTCCGGGTCTCATTACCACTGGTAAAAACTGTTTTGCAATTAGTGTTGAAACACTGAGATAAAGAAAGGATATATAGGAATTAAAAACAGATAATGTAAACACTAACAAAGAGTCTTAATCCCCTCAAATGAGTGTTTTGCATGTTTACCTCTGATTGGAATTCTTAATAATATCGAGTGCGTTGCAATTCAATAAAGATTCCCCAGGAAGAAAGAAGTCGATCCTTGGATTACAAAACAAAACAAGAAAAACAGAATCAACCCCCCCCCCAAAAGAAAACTTACACTCACTGCCTTTCCATTACTTGAAAAATAAAAAAGAACATTTTAAATAGTAAATACATGACACAAGAAGGTTTTGTCTGGGTTTAGTCGGGTTCAGATCACTTACAGGCACAATGGAATCCCCCATTATGTAGTGATTAGAAGGGCATCTTTCAGGCTTGGAAAGCAGGTTTTCTATCTCCACCTATGACTTGTTTTCTCTCTGAAGAGTGAAGGTGTTTTGATAAAAAGTTATTATCGTGCAGTTGAGCAAGTCTTTGCCCTCCTGGCCTGAAGTTCCTCACTGGAGAGAGGAAGTTGATAACCATCTCGGATTCTTGCCTGCTACCTATTAAAGGCTCATCCTCACTTAGAATCCAATACTGTATTTTCAGGACACTATAATTATTTGAGAAGAAGCCAAAATGATGGCTGGGGCATAATAATAGCATGTATAGTAACACAGTCTGTCTAACGGCCTATGGTTCCAGTTTAAATATCATAAGCTAAGGGTGCCCTGTGCTCCTACATTCCTACCCCCACTCCCATCACTTTTCCGTATGTAATATTCACATTCTAGTTTCTTAACACCCAGCTTCCCTCCTGGGTTGTAAACTCTGAGGGCAGGAGACATACCTTGCTCTCCACTGACTGTTGTAGCCCTAGCACCCAGCACAGGGTCTCGTACATAGAAGGAACTCAATAGCTATTGATTGAATTCATTGTTTTCTTAGAATCCAGCAGTGGTAACTGACCTCCAGGATGGCCCCTCATGATCCCCAGCTTCCAGAATTCACAGCCTAGTGAAATCCTGTCTTTCAGTGAGGGCTAGACTTGGTGACTTGCTTCTTACAAACAGAATAAGGGGGGAGACTAGGTCATAAAGGGCATCATGGTAACTCTCAAAGTCTTTCTGTCTGGACCACTCATTCTGGGGGAAGCCAGCTGCCATGCTGTGAACAGCCTTCTGGAGAAGCCCTCATGGTAAGGAACTGAGGCCTCCAGCCAACAGCCATGGCAGTGAACTTCCAAGTGTACCTTCTAGCCCACATCAAGCCTCAGGTGCCTGCAGCACCCGCTGACACATAGAGTGCATCCTCGTGGGAGACCCTGAACCAAACGCCTGACCTACAGAAACACTGAGATACTCACGCTTACTGTTTTAGGCCCCTGATGTGGCGGGTAATTCGTTACACAGCAGTAGATAACGGATATACTAGTCAGTTGCCATAGGCATCACTTTATTCACTTTTTCATTCAGTGAGTCCTTGTTGAATGCCAGCTCTGCCAGGGACTGTGTGGGATGCTGGGAACACCAGGACAAATAAGGCAAGGTCCCTGCCATCAAGGACTTAGAGTCTAGGAGAGGGAGATGGACGTGTAAGCAGGGAGCCCTGAAGCACTGCCCATAGAGGTGCAGTGGACATACAAAGGAGAAAGCTGGAACGGGGTGGGGTGGGAGGGTCGCTCAGACCGACACAGTGGTCTCATATACACACAAGTACATCACGGAAGACACTGTTTCCCAGTTGTAACTTCGCTTTAAACAGTCTCAGCAAACTTTGTTCGGTGTCCATCCACATAGCATTGAGTCATCGTACAGCGAGTCTGCCACTACAGAAGAAACGTCCTAAGTTCTTGGCCCTGGAGTGTGAGCATCCCATGCTGAACTTGACTCCTTTTGAATGGTTCTTCTCAGTCTGTCCGTTTTCTTTTTCCTCCCTTGATCTCTCTGTCACTAACACTATTATCCAGGAGCCTTTTGATTAGAAACAAATGGTTTGATTATTTTTAAAAGAACAAAAAACCATGAGACTGTTTGAATGCTTTGTATGTTTGCTGGCCGTAGAAACACTTGTTTCACTGTGGCTGGAGGCTGAACACGATAGGAGGAAGAGGGCCCACCAATAGAATAGGCCCACCAATGGAATGCTTCTAGAAAATGATGAGAAGATAAAGACATCAGCCAGTATAGCATATGTGTGTGTGTGTGTGTGTGTGTGTGTGTATGTGTTCAGTTTCACAGTCGTGTCTGACTCCTTGTGACCCTGTGGGCTGTAGCCCGCCAAGCTCCTCTGTCCATTGAATTTTCCAGGCAAGAGTACTGGAGTGGGTTTCCATTTCCTTCTCCAGGGGAATCTTCCTGACCCAGGGATCAAACTCACATCTCTTGCTTCGGTAGGCAGATTCTTTACCACTGAGCCACCCGTATTTTGTTATTTGTTTAGCTGCACTGGTCTTAGTTGTGCCACACGGGATCTGGTTCCCTGACCAGGGATCGAACCCAGGGCCCCTGCATTGGGAGTACAGTCTTAGCCACTGGACCACCAGGGAAGTCCCGCCCTGATATATTGATATCAGTATTAAATTGTAGTGAAAGGAATGCATCTCTGTAGGGACCACCTATGGTGGCCCTTTAGAACAGGGGATTCATTAGTAGACCCATTTCTAGAACCTCATCCTCTAGGCTAAAGAAAGCTTTCCCTGCACAGGGATAGTGTTCTATGGCTGACCTATGACTGACCAAGGATGGGTGACAGAGAGGGGAGAATTCACTTTGCAATAAAGAAGTAGCTCCACCGGACCTGGGTCCTCCACCCTCTAGGGGCTGGGGCTCAGGAACAAGAAGGAAGAGGCACCAGAGAACCACAATAACACTGTCAAGATGCTCCCAGCTTTAGAGATGACTCCTAGGAGGAAAAGAGCCAACACATTCTTTTTCCTTTTGCCACAGGCCGCAGTGGGAAAGCAATAAGATGCTGATACTGTCCTCTTGCAGGTATAACTGATTTGATGGGGGGAAGGGAGGCAGCCTAGGAGAGACACCAAGGATTGTCTGGGCTCGTCCCACCTCCTGTTCACGAACAGGAGAACGGAGGAGCCATAGGTGGTGTGTAGGAATTTTTTGTTTGGATTCTTTTCCTCCCCTTTAAAAAAAAGAAAAAGCGCCTCCTTTGTATGCTGCGGCAGTGTCTGTTTTTTGTTGTGGTGGTTGTTGTTTTAAATAGGAGAACTTGTGAAATGAGACTGCATGAAAGATGGACTTGTTTTATATATGGGATATTGCCTGTCCTTCAGATCTATGTGTCTCGCTTATGGAATGAACCAAAGTAGGAGAGATAAACTAATATTTTGTATAAGCTCAGCCAGACAATACAGATGATAAAGATGTTTCATCTTCTTATGCATGCAGAAAATATGAAAAATCGTAGTTTACACATATTTGCTCAATTCGAGTGTAAAATTGGGCCCCTCGATTGCCCTGGGCCACAGTGGCTGTGTTAAGGAAGCTCGATTTACCTTGCAGCCGAGTGAAAAATGATCAGAATATTAGACTCATCTAGCCCACATTAAGGAGCCATTGCATTTCCCGACAATTTTCTGCTATCTCAATATGAAAACAGAGCAATTTCAACTCATATCAGGTTATGATCGGCAATTACAGTTGCATAATTCACCTAGTCGCCTCTTTGCAGGGCCTTTATTTTCCCTCTTGGTGACATTCCTGAGAAAGTGCCTGATAAAAATGTCATATATCATCCCAGCTTTAGAACTCGTGAGGGGGTAATCTGCTATGCCTTGCTGAGCCCATATTCATCACTGGATTTTTGACTTGGAGGGGTCATGGCACTCATAATTTCCTGTTTGATATTGTCCTCACCAGCTCTGACAAGGGCTGTAAAAGCTGGGTTGTAGGCAGCGGTTAAGCCCTGTTCCAATGGGGCTCATCACCAGCAATAACAGTGCATTACCGTGGCTCGTGCTGTAGCTGGCCGTTTCGAAGATAATTAGATTTGATGTCAACATTTCTTTATCACCTGCATCCTTTTGTGCATCTGTGTGTCAAGTTGTTATTTCCGGATTTATTAGCACCCTCAGAGCTCCTCTCTATCTGTCAGCCTGTGGGCTGTTTGTGTTGACAGTTGTAAAGTTAATTACTAGTACTAATGAGCACCGGGCTTTTGGTGGACATGGCGTTTTGGACATTTAAAACTATAATTAGTTTTTTTTTTTTCCTTGTGTGGTGCTTCAGTACAGGAAAACAGTGTTAAAAAAAAATACCTTCCGTTCCATTTTGACATTCTGTGTGCAGTCAACTTATCTTTTATTCAAAGGCTCCAAAAATTCAGTTCTGTTTATTTTTCAAATAGACTTCTTTTCCATTGTAACTCCATGAATAATTTCTCTTGTTCCTTACTTCTCTTTCAACTTGATCATGTGACCATCTCATCTGCCTTGAGAATTAAGCTAGTGATGGTGAAAGGCTCAGAAAACGTGCTGGGAAAATGTTGACCTCCACCCAATCAGTAGACGGCAAATTTTCCCCGGATAGCTCTTCTCTTTTCAAATCTTACTCTGGGTTCAACTGGAAGATTCAGTGACTGGCAAAGACTGGATAAAATTAAAAGAGTAATAGATAGTTCTCCAGGTGACCGGTCCCTAACTAATAGCCAGTATTTATGTCATATTAATTCTGTGCCCAGGAATCATGGTACAAGGTCCCTAGATTCATCCTTACAACAAACCTAAGAGGGGATTACTAGTATCTCCATCTTACAGATGGGGAAACTGAGGTTGAGAAAGGTTAAGCAACTTACCCAGGGTCTCACAAGTAGGAAGTTGCGCTGAGATTTGAATCCAGTCAACGTAGTTTGGAGCCCGTGCTCATAACTAGAACTCTAAAGACACAAAGTACACTTTCACGAAAAATTAGCAGACTCCTGGGGCATGTATTCTAAAACAACAAAAAGCCGTCACTTAGTGAATCAGATGGGCTCATTTGTATTTCACTCCCAGTCATCCAGGGATGCGAGTTTCAGTGTAATGGCAATTATCTATGGCATGTACTTTATGGAGTATTTTGTCTGGTCTTTTGCAGCAGCAGAGTACCACTCCCTTGCTGCTATTCATATTTACTTTCTATTCATCATTATCTGCCATTTTGCTAAATAACTATCCTTCCCGGACATAAATCATCTATAAAAATACTCTGGCTCAGAGAAAATTTCGCCCTGGCACTGCAATGATGAGATAACTATTTTCATCTCTTGTTGAAGCATTGAGATTTATTGGCTTTCGATGGGCAGCAGACCAGGCATCACTCTCTGCTAAACAGACTCCCACTTGCATTTATTCTTATTGCATTTAGCGATTCAAAATGGAGCGCTGGGAATCCCTCGAGGGTCCATTCCCAGCCTGGGTGGGGTGTTATTACTTTATATTAGATAAGGGAAGGACACACAAAGAAACATGTGGCGATTCGGATGATTTTTTATTTCCGTTTAGCAGTGATGACAGAATGTCATAGTGAAATGACTTCAAAAGTCATTTTTCCCCACTGCCCCGGTTCTGCAGGCCTGTCCCTTGAGGGCTCTTCCATTGTACAGTGTTATTAATTCTGCTAACTTTCAGACTTCATTGCTGACAACAGGCCTCTTGGCTTTCGCAGCCTATTACATTAAATTTCCCATCAAACCATGTCAGCCTCTGAGGTCACAGATTTCGAGAGAAGCTTTAGATATTTTGCCATCTGACTTCACGGGCAGGTGTTTTCTAAATTGCTTTTAGGTTTGTTTTTCCAGTGTCAGAAATCAGATTGAACTTATTTAAAAAAAAAACAAAACAAAAACAAAACTCAAGACAGTGAGCGCTCATGAGGGTAAGAACAAAGCGGAGTGCAAGACACGTCTGAACTGGCACGTGTGTTTGTGTGTGTGCGCACACTCCTGCCTTGCACTAGTATTCCAGTTGACCTTCCAATAGACTATCATCCCTGACTCCACCTGGTGAGTAGAATGTCTTGCTGACTTTTTTTTTTTTCCTGCATCTATTGAAGCCCCCAAATAATAGTGTGATGGCCCTGGTGAGCAGGGCTAGGCTCCGCTGACCTTGCTTTTGGAGGGAATCTGTGAAACTGTGGGGTGGCATTAGAGGGTCACTGGGCAGGCCGGTGAAAGGATTGTGGGCCTGGTTTGACACTAGCATGGCTTAATGTAGAATCTTCGAGCAAGTTCCCAGTGGCAATAAAAACTCCCGTGTTCCCCTTCCTGTGTTAATTTCAGCACACTGTTGTGGGATTAAAATAAAGGAAAGGCAGAAACCTTCCTTCCAACTAACATGGCCACAGGCACCACGTTGCTGTCAAAATTACATTCCGAAGGAAGCGTGGGGAGGAAAATGGAGCCGGGGCGCCCGTCTCAAAA